AAGAGCATTTCTCAGTGTTTGAGATGGGACTAGAATAATGTACTGCATCATTCATCCAGGGAGTTGGTTAGAGTTATAGTTTCACATTCTTTTCACTTCATAATGAAACAAATTCACCTACAGACTATAGTGCAGACCAGAGCTAGGATCTTAAGTGTTTTTCCCCACGTGCGGAACCATCTTGCAAGCAGGCAAGATGGAGCCTCCTGTGCCGCAGCCCTGAGGCCTGTTAGGTTTCCCTCCACTTTGGACTAAGCCGGCGAGTCTGACACCATAGCCGGTCTCTAGCCCAGGTTCACCATGAAGAGTGTACTCAGCCCTAATTCCTCCTGGCGGCTCACACAGGCCAAACATAGATGTGCTCAGCTCACGGGCACTGAACCATCGTGCTCTGACTGTTGGAGTGTTTTACACACTCTGAGCTTTATCCATCTTTTAGGAAACTTTTCTTGTGCCACTTTGGGATAAACAGTTTGATGTCTGGTTGTTTTCAAGCTCTCTTGGCAATGAGGTACTTGGTCATTACGTGTTAAAGAGATACCTGATTGTAGACTTGTAAACAGCATCAAAGAAGACTCACATTTTATCCCCATAGTGCCTAAGGAGGAGAGGCAGAGAAAGGTGGTGGAAAAGGGAAAGGATAATAGAATTTACCTGCAACACTGACCTGACAGAAATAAAAATCTTCCTCACATGACACAGAACAGACCAGATCATCAGCACTGCGCATGGAGACTCTCAGTATAGATACTGTTTGTCTTATATTGAAATAAAAATATTTCTGCCCTCCCGATGAGTACAATTTAGAGGATTCCACTTGCTGCTTGTGGGATGTTACGAATAACATGAGCATTCTTAATAATTACATGTAAATATGCTACACGCAAAACTCTGAAAGACTTGTCTGAACAGCAATAATTAATTATGCATTTTGGGACTCCTATGAGCAAAGCAAATTGTTGCTCTTTCAGAAAAATGTTTTGAAGGAAAATTCCTAGTGATAAAAATTAGTTAAAAACACTCATCTTCAATGCAAAATGGATTGAAGACTTACATATAATCCCTGAAACTAAACTAAACTCCTAGAGGAAATCAGGGGAGATGCTTCTGGACTTTGGTCTTGGCAACGATTTCATGGAGACTAAACATGCAGGCAACAAAAGCAAATTAGACCAGTGGGGCTACATCAAGCCAAAATGCCTCTGTGCAAGCAAGCAGATCATCCGCAGAGTGAAAGACAGCCTCCAGAACCGGAGAAAGTGTTCACAGCCACGTTCCGTATGGTGGGAATGATTTCCAAAATATATAAGGAAATCCTGCAGCTCGATATCCAAAAATGAGAAATGGGATAAAGATCTGGATAGACATTTCTCCAAAGAAGACCTGCAAGTGCCCAGTAGGTACACTAAACATTGCTGACCTGAACATTATGGAAATGAAATCAAAACCACTGTGAGATTGTCACCTTGAACTTGTTAGGTTGGTCATGATTAAATAAACAGAAGATAGCCGGTATTGGTGAGAATGTGGAGAGACTGGAACGAACTCTTGTGTATTGTTGGTGGATGCAGAAGTACAGCCACAGCTGCTATCAGAAACAGTATGGAAGTTTCTGGGGGGAAAACGTTAAAATAGAAGTACCTGATGATCTAGCAACTTCTGGGTGTCTATCCAAAAGAACTGAAGCCGGTTCTTGAGTTGAGGTCTGCGCCCCTGTGTTCACTGGAGCCTATTCACAGTAATCAGATGTGTTCACACCCTCAGTGCCCAGTGATGGATGAGTGACTGAGAAAAATGTGGAATATACATATAATGAAATGTGATTTAGCCTTAAAGATTCTGGAGGGCAGTATGCCACGTGAAAGAAGCCAGTCACAGAAGAACAGACACTGCATGATTCCATTTATCTGAGGAATCCAAAATGTCAGAAACAGACAATAAAACAGTGGGTGCCATGACCCGGGGGGTTGGTAAATAGGGAGTTGTGCGCAGCGGAGACCCGCAGTTAACAGTACTGCGCTATTCACTTACGTTTTGAAAAGGGTAGAGCTCTCATTAATGTTCTTCTAATAAAAACTGAAACACACTCATCCTCTGTGGTGGCTGTGAATGAACCTTCTACTGATAGGTGTGATAGTCCGTGTACCCACAAGTTTAGTGAGCGGCTGCCACTTCTTTATTAAGAAAATTTTGTGAATTTAGCAAAATATGTAATGATCTTATTTTCCCTTAGAAGCAGTGCACTTGGGTTCACCTGAGCCGTAAGTAAGATCAGGGGAAAGTCTTCCACATTCTGTGTTCTTTTCCTTAACTGAGTCTGCAAAATTTTTCTTTGATTTTACTTGACTTGTCAAATGCAATTTGATCTAGACCCATGGAAAATGTTGCCAACCAGTTAAGACATTTTTATTAATAAAATGGTAAACGTGGTAAAATATATCTTCTTTGCCAGACATTCATGACAGCAAAACAGAGAAGTTTCAGGGACAGGCTGGAACCTATTTCTTCCTTTCAGATGGATTCGCGCCTCCTGTCAACTTTTTGGATAAAGAGAGAAATGTCCACAAGTTTCTCAACGTTATTTTAATTTCCTTTGCCATTTAAAATAGAAACATACGTGGACAAGGATTGATTTCTTTTTTATATAATCTACTCTAAAAATACTGATTTAAATCTGGGCGTGAGAAATAACTGGTATCTGATTGTAAAAGTAACACTGCCCTTCGCCAGGCTTAATGAGAAGCGTTTCCACAGGCTTGTCCACCAAGATTTCTCTATTCATTCCTTGTTCTCCCATTGCATTTGTGGATGCTTGCATGGAAGTCGTTTGGGTCTGCGGCGAGTGGCATATTGTTGCTGCTCCTTCCCTTCTCTCACTCGAAGGTGAGCCTGGAGAGCTGCATCTGTTTGTGTCCATCTCTGTTCTGCTTAGGGCCTGGCACATACGGGTGCAAATGTGGAGCCAGCACACCGTACAGAGTGACCTGTCGTGAGAATGGACACGTCACTCCATATGATAACCCTGACCATAGAAAAACTGTCCCTTAGATTTTCTTCTTTTAAAAAAAGATTTTTTTTTATGCATACAAGAACTGGGGTACAGGCCAGAGGTGCGGGGGCGGAGAGGATTCACCAGAGACAGAGTGGAGAGCAGAACAGGCAGAGTGACGAAATACACTGCTGAGGGGAGCAGCGGGCAAGGCAGGAGAGGTCTGCTGCACCATGTGGGTCAGCTCCCTGGCCGGAGATCGAGCTTGTGCTGCAATGACTTGGCATTAGCTTGATAGCACTGAGACTTTAACCCCTAGGCCACCCAGAAGGCCCCCTCCCTTAGATTCTCATATTACTTCCGTAGATCAGTTTTATGTTACAGGTCCCATACACTTGTTGATTTTGTTTGTAGAGAATTGTTTTGTGTACTCTGGGGGTAGTTAATGACAGTTTGCCATCTGTTTCCCCTTAGCAGCCTTTTCAATCTCCCTATTCGGTTGTTCTGTGCCCTATTTTATATGGGAGACGACCTCTCCCTTTTAGCTGTTGATGATTTTGAACTGTTAGGTTTTCACTGGGAAATATGAAGACTATTCTTTGATCTTCTGCAAGCTGTGTTGGTGGCATAATTTGAATTTGGGTGCCATGCCTTATAAGGAGGTGTGTGTTGTGGGTCATTTGTAAAATGAAATGCCCCTCTTTGATGTCTTTTGTTTTACACTTTTTAAGTAGCTTTGATAGCTTTGACTTTTCTTTCCCAGGAATGACTTTTCATTGTTTTCATTCTAACAAAAATGAAGAGAACTGAGTTGCTTGAGTGCTTGCTGTGTCCCCTTTGGTGATGGGTGCTATTGCTATGAAGTCTTTCTTTCCTTAATCTGTGACATCCCCATTGACAGGTGAGGAAGCTGAAGCAGAAAAAGGAGTATGTTTTTGCCACTTAGCCTCTATTTTATCTCTGGTGTAACACAACACAGAGAACAGTCCCTCTCTCTTGGGTTAGTGGGAAATACATTGAAACTTGAATTTCTGTGAGATGGTAGATATCCTTGACACCCTCCCACCTGCCTTTAAATTTGGAGGCAGATATTACAAGTACTCTAAAATGTTTAATGTTTCCAACAAGGTAAGGGAATTTCCTGCTTGCCATACAATGAAGAAGTAGCGCAAGAGAGTCCTTTGTTTCTTCTGAAGGTGCCCGTGTGTTTGTGGGTCTTTGGAGCTAAAGATTTGGGTTTGAACTGCTGTGTGGTGACAGAAGATCCATTCAGCAGGAGGAACCGGAATGTCAGACCTCTCCACACTGACTCTTATCCCCCAGGAGAAAAGAAAATTTGATCTGAAACCATGGCAATGGATTTTTTTTTCCTCTTAATTGAAGTAACACTGGTTTAGAATGAAGTAACATTGTCATGGAACGCTGCTCCCAGCTCTCAGGGGGCCAGCAGGGGGAAGCTTGTGAAAGCAAGGGATAAAATGGATAGGCAGCTGGCCTTGCTTGATTCTCTGTCTTCTGAAGTATCAGTTTTGTGCCACCTTCACAATCCTGAGTGTGTTCACATATTACCTAGATTCTTGTTTAATATTTTTAAACAGATGATATTATACTTGCAATTGCTTTTCTAAAGACTCTTTATTTCCCAATGAAGTATGGGAGCCTGTAATGCCTGCCCTAGGTAGAAAGTGGCTATGAAGGATACTAACTCAGCCCTAACTGTCTGCCACTTGTCCCGGCCCCAAGGCCTGCTCCTGGGGTAGAGGAAGGTGCAGGAGATGCTGAGGACAACACACTCAGGCGCTCACTTCCTTGGAGGAACCAGAAGACGCCCCATGCGAGCACCCCGTGTTGGGGCCGCCCTGGCCAGTGCGTGCTGGGCTAGCGTGGGGGTCAGAGCACCTGCTGTCCAGCCTTTACCTCCCGGAACCCCACGTCTAAGCCTCCTAGATTGAAATGCTCTTTGTTTTTTCTCTTTGAAGCTCTTTTAAGAGCCTGTGCTGATGGAGGTGCCAACCGGGTGTATGATATCACCGAAGGAGAGAGGACAAGGTAGGCCCCCTTCAGTGCCCTGACTCCCGCTCACTCGGTTGGGCTGACTCTGTTCTTGGTGGATGGTGACTGTTCCTTTCCCTCACTTCACAGAAAACCTCCTCGGTGAGACAGCTGTATAACCATGACATCGGCTTTGTTTTGGGTGGTTTCAGTCGAACTAGACAAATCTTATTCTTACTTAAAAAATTCCCATTGTACCCCTGCAAAAGCCTGGATAAGTAGCGTGATCAAATACTGACATTTATGAGGACTTTAAACATTGATTAAAATAAAATTTCCAATGGTAATTTGAACTAATATTCAAACATCTTAAATGAATAAAAACTGATCTCATAAATGAAATATATATTCTGATGTAGAGCATGGGAAATTTTTATATTGGTGTTCAGTAAAGTCCAGCAAAATTTACTCTAACTCAATTACTTCCTAGTTTTATATATCCATACACACACACACACACACACACACACACGGAGATAAATAATTTATTTCTTAATGATTTGGTATCTGTACTGTCTGATCTTCCTGATACTTGCCTAATGAGCTATTTTTAACTAAGAGATATGCTTGATGAAAGCAAAATTTAAAACTAGTTCATGCCAACATGTTTATAGTTCAACCTCTTGGCAAACATAAGAATTTATAGTCTGGATATAAGTAGACTAGCTGTGAAATTTAGTTCTCCTCCTAGCATGTGTGTTATAAAATATATAAAATGTTTATAGCTTAAAAAATCACCTCCTTGCTGCAAAAAATAAATGTATATGATGTAACATACTGCATGGGTGAGTTAAATATATATATTTTGAAATGATGTATTTTTCTTTATGGCATCAACATTTTGAACTTCAGGTTTCTAAGATCTGAACTGCTTTTTTGAAAGCAGCTGGTTGCTTATAGGAGGGAGGCAAGTTTCCTTTGAGACTGGACAGTGATGACAGGCCAGGAAACAACGTAAATTCTTAGTGTTTTGTACTCCCTTATTTTTTTTTTTTTTACTTTATGGATTCCTCTGGTGACTTGACATGGACAGTGTGTGAAAAAATATTCAAGTAGGGCCTCCCCGGTGGCGCAGCGGTTGAGCGCTGGGTTGCGAAGCTGCCCGCAGCCTCTGCGGCGCCGGTTCTATCCCCGGCTGCTCCCCGGCCACCGGAGGAGGGTCCCACATGGCGCACAGACCTCTCCTGCCGCCCGCTGCTCCCCTCAGCAGTGTACTTCGGTCCTTCTGCCTGCTCTGCTCCCCGCTCTGGCTCTGGTGAATTCTCTCACCCTCCCGCGCTTCTGACTGTACCCAGTGCATGTATAAACAAAAACAAACAAACAAACAAACAAACAAATAAATAAATAATAAATAAACAAACATGCCTCTATTAAAAAAAAAAAAGAAAAAAAAATTCAAGTATGTGATATAAAAAGTGCCTCGCCAGTGAGGTAAGAGTGTAATACCTAGGAGGCCACCTGGGTTCAGGCTGCTAGCCGGCTTACTGGCAAGCAGTGGATACTGAAGGCTCCTTGTTTCGGATAGTAGGTGCAGCTCTTGAAACATGATCATGCGCGCCAGAGCTGTCAGAGGTGTCGACAGTGTTCCTCGCTCCACCTTGATCATAAGAACCACTTAGAATACTTGTGAAAAACAGATTTCTATATTTTTTTATTTGATTGGCTGGACATTAATTGGAAAGATAAAACACAGTTTACATTTGATGGCAAAAAGTATGATCAGATTTGGGGAGTGAGTACTATTATTTTCTTTGTTGTTATTTCTTAGCACATCTATAAGTAGTCATGGAAGCCTTCCAAGAGGATTTATATCATTTATGTAATAGCCACCTACCCATACAGGAAGATGTTCAATCAGGAAGGTACTTTCTGTGGATTGTCCAGTGGCAATAATATGTTCACAGCGATTCCTGCTCTGATGCTTAGGAGCATGGCTGGCCTGGGGGAAGGTGGAGTGCGTAACAGAAAGGGGAATGATGCAAACTGCCTCATCTAAGTATTAAATCCTCAAATAAATCTCATTACATTCAAACCCTAGCCAGTTAAACTAATGGGATACAGATGACTAAACGTGATTCCTATTAAATGTATTTTTAACCGAAAGACTTCAGAATGAAAGAATGAAATGATTCATTAATATCCATATCTGCAATGTAATACCGTGTAATAATGTGATGGACATGAATAGTGGAGAATTATCTCCAGCTGAAGACACTATGTTTGGAATGGAAACAAGGACTGGTGTGGACAGTCACAGAGAGCAGGGCTCTGGGGGAGCTCAGGCCAGCATCCCCGGTGCCCGTGGGGCCAGCCTCCACTGAACATGTTCAGCCCTCCCTGCCTCCTTCCTGGAGAGTTTGCCTGTATCCTGACTCTCAGAGTCGCCTCTCACTGTCAGGGTTTTTTCCTAATAATCCTAAATGTTTTCTCTTATGGAAAAAAAATGCACGATGGTTGAATATATGTTAATGAGAGAAAGGAAAAGAAAAAGAAAATATTCTCTATTATTTCTTCCTAAGTAACAGGGAGTTGCGTTGGGTCTTGTCTATTGGTTCTGCCATTTGGACAGCAGAAAATGTGATTAATTTTCTGTAGTTACCTCCTCAAATATTTGTTTATAAATGTGTCATTGATCACAGTTACTCTTTATTCTCTTCCCATAGTTTTCAGTGACTTTGACTGGTGACCCACATATTTTGGATAAGCGGATTAATTCTGCTCTGAGAGCTGGTGGATTCTGATTTGGGTGTGGATCCAGTTTGAACATCAATCTCAGGTCAGATTAAAGACCCAGTCAGGAAAACACGAATGCCTAACCACTACGGCATTTTTTTGTCCTCTTGAAACTTGTATAATAGAAGAGAAAATCAGTATTCAATGTGATAAATTATAAGGCAAATAATGACAAAGTTTGAATTCAGCATGATTGGTTCTTTGACAAAGGAAGACACTGAGGATGGACAGTTAATGTGGACTGAGGGTATTAGAAAATATTCTGAGACTTCACGTGGGGGTAAGGTTTGGGCTCAAGAGTAATGTGGTGTGTGTTTAAGTGCACGAGGTGACTGAGGGTGGAGGGGGGAGGTTCTCCTTCATGTCCTGGATGAAATCTGAACTGATAACCGTGAGAATAAGGGTTTGGTGAATTCTGCTTCTCAGTGCAGGAGAGATGTGGACTTTTATTGGTGAATTTAGTAGAGCAAATACAGATGTTGAATTATAAGAACACACACCTGAAACTTACTTTATAATGCAATAATTCAATAAAAAGTTATTAGATAAAAGACTGCGTTGGTTTTTAGTTATCTTTTCAGCCTCAGCCAATTTCCTCCTTTGTTTTCTTCTTCCCTTTCTCTTCGTTACCTTTGCTGAGACCCTTTCTCAGCTGACTCTTCAGCCTGTACACATTGGTGCTGCAATAATGCATTACAGTCTACCATTCTGGCTGGTCAGTTCTTATGGCTCCTGTCCTGTCCTGATATCCTCAGATGGCTTAATTGCATGAGGGGGCATTTCTTATTGTCCTATCCATGCATCAGAGCGCAGCTAAAATAGCCCCTGCTCAGGAGTACTCCCCTCTGCTTCCAGCCTGATGTGACTTGACCTCTCCTAAGCTATCATAACACTTTTAAATTTGTGTTCACATTTTACCTTGATTTAGAGCTAAAAGACATACCCTTTACTTGGTTATAAATTTTTGGTGATCTGTTGTCCTTTAACTTTGCATAATACTTTGTAATTATTTACTTTCTCATTTTATCTTGTGATTTAGCTGCATGTAGATGTATCTCATCTCCCTCTCTGGTGGGGAGCATCTTGAAGGCCACAATCATAATTCATCTTCTTTTCATGCCTCAAAATATCTTGTGCTAATGAGCATGAGAATTTATGGAATTAATGATTTTTCATTGATATCTTAGCAGAAATGTCACAAAGACTAAGCTTTCTTTCAGCCAGAAAATTCTAAGCTATAATAGCTATTGGAAGTATCTTGATGCTAGAGAAGAAATATCGAATAACTGCATCTTATTAATATAAGACAATGTGTCTTATATCTAAAAAGATAATCCATATTTTGTCCAAAATTGTGTGTAGTTTGTGTCTCACTTATTTCCAGAATATTGCATATTATATAGCATTGGCAATGCAATGATTTTTTAGAGCTGTTTTGGACTTAGAATTTTCGTGGATTTTCTTAATTGAAGTCATATTGCATAATAACATCTCATAAGATTTAGGTGTGCATCATGATAAATCAACATCTCTACATACTGCATGAAGTTCATCTCTAAAAGTTCAGATAAGTCTTTTATCATGAAACTATCTTTGCCTTTAAATTCACTGGTAGTTTGAGAGCAACATGAAATATCAGTGCTAAAGAAGGAGGTGTTTTTTTTTAAAAACTAAGTTTTATGGACTTAGAGCTTGTCAAAGTTAGCATACTAGTCTGGAATTAACCACGAATCTTGGTGCTATTGTGTGGTAATTTGAAATGGGGAGTGGTGTTTATAGGTTTGCTATCTTATGGTTGCTGAATCCTGAATGGCCCCACAGAAGACAATTTTTATTCAAACATTGTTCTGTTTAATTCGAATGTTTGGAAGTTGATTTTCTGTTCAACTTAAAAGATGAGCATCTGGCAGAGATTCCTTGAGTTGACACAAATGGCCACTCATGTGAACATGCGACTCGTGACTATGGTGGCACAGGAAGGACATGAGACAGTGAAACAGGAGGGCGCGGCTCTTTCTTGATCTCTTCTGCTCACTCCATTGATTTCCTTACAGCTAAGATTCCATACTTTCTGGTTTATGCATTCCTGTGACTTTCTGGTTTATGCATTCTCATCAGCAGATCAATACCACCTTTCAGAGTGATCAAGTGGAGGGGATTGTTGTAACTCTAACTCTTTAAGACCCGGTTAAACCAATTTTCAAATATAAATAACTGAATAATGTGGGAGGCTAGCTGTTACAATTTAGCTTCTAAAGTCTTTTTCAGTATAATTAAACCAGCCATCCACAGCAAGTATCTGATACCCCCTGGAAGGAATCAGACAGTCTGTCTCCACAGGAGCAACTGTTAAGTCTTGTTCTCTCAGCCCCTTCTTTGCAGGCCAGGAACTGTGTTGTGAGAGAGCAGGCCTGGACTCGTAGTCAGATCAGAATTCAAAATCTGATCTGCGACTTGATTGCTGGGAGATATTTAGCAGATACTTTCACGTCCTTGCTCTGCAGACTCCAATGCTGACATTTCAGGGAGAGATTCCTATCTTCTGGAATATTCAGAGAATATTCTCTGAATATTCCAGAAACATATCACTTGGACTGGCCCTAAAAGATTTGGATCTGTTGAGAGGATGCAGGATGACCCTTCAAAGCTGAAGTAATTGAAATATAGCGTAGCTGGACGTGTGCAGAAAGCAGTCTTAGGCTGTAGCTGTGAATATTCTTGTCAGTAAACATTCTATAGGCAGTAATTGTATGACTTCTGGGAAAGGTAGTGAGCGCTTTTAGTGTGGCTGTAGTGAAGGGAGGCATTATTTGGCTTCTCAGGTTCTTTGTTTTTAATGAGCTTGTTCAGGTGTAATTTCATCCAAAAAAAAATTCTTCTAGTCAATGCATAAGGTGCTGTTAGCATTGAGGTGGTGTGTGTTCTGTCCACCACCACGGGCGGGTTAAAACACAGCCGTCATCTCTGCCATGTCTTCCCTCCTGTCCCTTAGCAGCCAGGGCTTTCCTCTGGTGCCTGGGCTTCTAGAATGTCATATAAATCATGGCTCGCTGTCTTTGGTGCCTGACTTTTCCATTTACCACATGCTTTGAGATTTGTCCTTGTTATTGTGTGTATCAGAAGCTTGCTCCTTTTCACTGCTGAGTCATGTTTCATTGTATGGCCCACCATGCTTTGCTCATTTATTCAGTGCAGGTGATGGACTGGACTCTTAAGACTTGCCCTTCTAGTTGAATTTGTTGTCATTTTTCCAAGTGCTTCTGTGGGAGGAATGTTAGTTCTTTTAGTTAGAACCCAACAACATTTCAGAGTTGTCATTTCAACCCTGGAGTTCTGTAAATAGTAGAAACTGTATATAATAAGCTTGCTCAGTATTACTTGGTTTTTATTGTTGACATGATAATGTCAAAATTGTTTTGGAATAAGTTGTTAAGTATCTGAGCATAAATCATGAGCTGTATAACCTGTACTATATCTGACAACTGATTTCAGTTAACCTGTGACAATAATTTTCTCAGTGTTTGGAATTTATTTTAATTGATGTTCAAGCATTTCATGGTGTAGTCAAAAAAAAAATACACTTTCAGTATGCTTTAACATTTATAGAAAGAGCGTGTGCTTTGTTTAGGAAAACCCAAGATTTTTGGTTTAGTTTGATCTTACAAGTCTAGCCTTAAGCAATAGTTAGTTACTTTGGTAAGTTTTTATTAAAAAGTATTTAGGCAATCAAATTACTAAGCTCTGTAGGCATGTCAACGTTATTGGGTCTTAGAATCAAAGTGATGGAAGGTAAAAATGATTAGCACATTTAAAAGAAAATTTATAATAGGAGTCTAGGTATTAAAGAGCCTTGCACTACAAACTCTGAGGGCATATTTATCTTGAATTATTGATTGGATTAGGTTAGTAATATATTTTAGTTTGTTGGTTATCACATACTATAAATCAGAGACCTCAAAGTTATCCAGGCATAGCTCTGAATCATTTCAGGGCATTGGAGGAGGGGAAACGTATATGCAAAGATGCTGTGTTTGTCAGATCATGCATGAAGTCAAAATAAATTTTCAGAGTGAAATTGTTTTAAGCAACTGCAGGGAGTCAGTTTACAACTAAATTTAATCAGAGGCCTTGTTCTTTATGGCTATTCTATTTCATAAAGTATGTTCTTGACAAAACCTTTTTCCTGCACTGTGGATGGAGTCTTCAGAAATAAATTACCTTCAGATGATTTTTCAGAGAAACCTGGGTCATTTGTCAAAAGTTTTGAGCAGCATGTGGCTCTCTTAATTTAGCTTTTTGAAAAAAAAATCAAGTTGAATTATTTTCTAAGCACTTGTTAGTACAATTTTAGAGCTTGTGTTTTTTTCCTCACATTTTGGGGCTTATTTTCAATATATTGTTAGATTGCAAAGTTAAGAATAGAATATTCCCCTCCTATACACACACACACACACACACACGTTTTTAGAAAGGTGTGGGATGGTGCCTTTTTGATATTTCATGCGCGTTGAAGTGAGTACACATTCACACATGCTTGCACCCATGCTGAGATCCTTCCTGCATGGTTTTCTTGTGATTAAAACTTTGATTTTATATTATTGGACTGATAATAAGCAGAATAGCTATGACAAAAGGTGGCATATGCTTATTTGTTGACATGTCATTACCGGGCATGCATCTGAGCCCATGATGGGATTGCGCCTGAGCCAGCAGTGGCCTTCCAGTGGTCAGCGGCCAGGAAGGTGACAGCTAGATTCCGTGCAAGCAGTGGCTAGTTAGTAAATTTTGGGGGAAAGTATCCAAATAGCAGCTGCATCAAGATGAGCCCTGAACTGTCACTTGCAATCCTGGGTTAGAGATCTGAGAGTGGTTTAAAGCAGTGCTCCTTGAAGACCTCAGTGTTGCTATAACCTGAGAGGTCAGGCATCTGCTGAAGACCAGCAAAGTGGGTATTTTAAGTACAGCAGAACACATTCACCACTGTGAAGGCAAAAATCACTGTGTGCATATCTATGAATAAATATGTACATGTATGCTGTTCTATTTAATATGCTTAACTCTGGAGAGTATATGCCCTAGGAAGTAGGAGACAGAGGAAGTAAGGGGAAGGGGACTTAAATCATAAACAAGAGACCATTAATCTTTAAAAGTCAAGATCTGAAGGAACTAGGGTCTCCCTGGTGGCCTAGGGGTTAAGTCTCAGCGCTCTCACCATTATGGCTTGAGTTTGATCCCCTCCCAGAGAGCCGACCCAACCCACGTGGTGCAGCAGAGCTCTCTGGTCTCCACTGCTGCTCCCCCTTCAGTAGATCCACCTGTTCTGCTCCCCACTCTCTCTGGTGAATCCTCTCACCCCCAGCACCTCTGGCCTATACCCCAGTTCTTGTATTCATAACAAATATATCTTTAAAAAAAAAAGGATTTGAAGGAACCGGAGTAAAAAACCATGTATTAAAAATATTGACTGAACCGCTAAACCCTGTGATTAGCCCTTGTATTGAATGAGGTCAGCGGTTCTTTCCTTGGATTGTAGGGAAGAAGTAGTGTTTCTGCCATAGGATTTCAACCAGTGAACCCTTGTTTTTTGACCCTGGATGTGAGGTCATCTGTTTCTGCTGGATACCATTTAGGGTGTTGGAACCTGGGGTGCTCCATACCCTGTATGTATGGGCCCCTGGGATGTGCTACTTAGGGCTGAAGGAACTATGGGGGGTGGGGGGTTGAAGCCCCATCACTCTTTAAAAGTGATTGTTTAAAGTACTTGTGCCATCCAAAGACCCACACTGCAGCCCTCTCTCTCAAGACTCTTGTCCATCAATTGTAAAAAGTCAGATGTGCTTAAGAATTCAACCAAGGGCTTCAAAACAGTGCCCTAACTCAGACAACTTCCCTGCCTGCTCTTTTAAACTTTGCCATCCCCTGTCCTGGGGGAGCACCCCTTGCACCTGTCCCTGGGATGTGGACCTGATCATGATCCCTAGTAAACAAAAAAAAAAGAGTAAATATTAGATCCCCACTCAGCCAATTAATGGTTTCTAAAAACCATTGGTCTGCCCCTTGAAATGTTGAGGAATTAGTTTTGCCATCAAATGGACATATTGTTTTGCAGATTCTGTAAATCAATGTCCATATCTGATTCATTTATAAAAATGTTTTTTGGTAAAAAGCCCTCTTAGAAAATTTATTGATAAAAACATTCTGCTTTCTTCCAATAATTATAACCCTTGTCTTTACAAACGCAGACCCTTGCAGTATTTCTGCAGCGGTCTCTCCCAGCAGCCACCGGTGTGCCTGGGCGGTGTTGGGGCTGGTCGTGCCCATCCCTCCACTCTCCTCCTTCGCTCAGCTGACTTTTTCTGTGGGTGTTTCTACTTAACTGGACCAGATGCCTTGTTCTTCTTTTTGTGTGCCCTTATCCACTGATTCCCTCAGGAGGGGGTATCCAGCACAAGGAAACCCCCTATTTGTGCCCCCACCAGATGAAATATTCCCAGATTTAGTTCCTTTATTAAAAACAAGACAAGCTTCTAGCAGAAAACCTATTTTCTAACTGCAAGCATAGTACTTAGGAAGGTAGCAGAAGCGTGGAATGCAGCTTTCTCTGTACAACTTGCCAGATTTATTTTTCACTGCATGCAGAATTCACTTGTTTATCACTAGCGGCCTCTAGTGTGCATTCACTTTCTTCCTGCTCAGCTGTACATTAATAGATCATTAGAAACTGGAGAGCAGTTCCCTGTGTGAGGAACAAGAAGAATCATCTTGCCATTTTATCAGTCAGTGAGAACGTTTGCACATGCCAGAGCGCTCTTACGGGTCGTGTTACAGGAACTGGCCATCTGAGCCCCTGTCCTCGGCGTGGCAGTTACTGTCCATGGTCCCGACGCCGCGGGACAAAGAGTCCAGGTCACGCCCTGTGCTCCAGGCCTTTAAGGGGGTGCAGTCGATGTAGGACACTGTGGGAAGGTGCCCAAACAGCACTCTCAGCCAGATCTTAGGGCGATAGCCGACCTTCACTATTCTCAATTTAAGCAAAACTGTAGTCAAGTCATCTTTATTGCAGTCATAATTACAAATAAAAATATAAAATTGCAAATAAAAATAATATAAAATAAATTAGTTTAAAAGCGCCAAGTCTGTATTATTTAGCAACTACCTTAGCATTTTTGTTTGTTTTGGCTTTACATATTCCTTCATTTTTTTTTAAAGTCACACCCTTCCTTACCTCCTCCCACCTAGTTGTAGAAGTAATGCAAGCTCACTGGCGTGAACTTGGGGCATACAGGAAGATACAAAGGAAAAAGCAAAAATAACTTGAAGTCATCCGGAGTCCCACAGCTTTGTCAGTCTTACTTCTGCACGGCTCTCTGATCTATGGCACATGTTGCTCACAGGTAAAAGAGGGAGTTTCAGGAACGGCCTGCTTGCCATCTTGCCTGTTTTCTTAAAATTATATTATTATAAAGTTGTGTTATGAAGACATTTTCTTGTGATGTATACATTTTGTTATGTTCTTACTTATCAACCATTCTCCCTGTACTGGAAATGTGTGTTCACAATTTTTTATGAGTATAAAGTTGATAAGCAAAGCTTTGTATGAGTTTTTGTTACTTAAAGTAGATTCTTGGAAAATAAGATAAGGGGTCAACAGTTATAAATTTTAAAAAAATCACTTAAACCCACATTAACCATTCGTTTTCTAGAATCTTTGTGCTCTTTGTATCTACTGGCATGTAGATTCATATCCATTTCTGTCTTCTTTTGCCTGCTTTATTTTTTAATTGATGTGTTATGCATGAAATTATATCCCATTGTATGGTAGCATGTTTTAGATTATGCAGTCATTGTGCCATAATTTTGCCAACACTCTGCTACAATGGAATAAATGAGAGCGAAGGCTGGTTACCGAGGTGACGAAGAGTTGATCTGCAGGGTCTTTGTTGATCATGCTGACAATGCACTGACGTGAGAGACCCGAAGCCCTTGAGGGGTGCTGGGCAGAGGAGGGGCCCCACTGTCTCATGAGGGCTGAAGCATAAAAAATGGCAAGAAAGCACCTGATTCAGAGCAGAGTCTGAAAGTAGAGTCTGTGGAACTTGTTGGCAAATTAGTTGTGCGGTGGAAAATGATAGTCATCAGCTAATGATTGTATGATTTCAAGGTGACCTGTGCTTCATGACTGTCACCTGGTGGAAATCTTTCGGATTCCTGCGACAGCATCTTTCCTAAGTGCTGAAGGGAACTTCTTGTGCTCTATTCCTCTCTTTTAGGATGATGGCTTGCATATCCTTATGTAATCGATAGAAGCAGCAAGAACAAACGGAAATGAATGAAAATATAAAATAGAGAAAATAGCAAAGCAGTGTTTGCCTTAAATTCCTTTTTGTCCTTCTCTAAAGGTTTTAGTTCCTGCTGTGGTGGATGCTGTGGGAGAATAAGGATTAAAAGCACAAAGGTTAGCCAGGCAGCTTATGACGTGTGACTTGGGTAGACTTGGGAGCAGCGGACAACCTGTCAGTGACCACAATGGCATTTCTTATCACTAACTGCATTTATTGAATTCTGTGTAGTACGTCTCAGAGAAGCATGAAGCAAAGTAAATTCCACAATGTGATTCAGTGCCAGTGAGCCAGGCTTTCATGTTTGTTGAGGTAAAGAATTGGCATTAACCTGTATAGAAGCTTTGCGATTCTTTCCTGTTTGTAAATAAGAAAAGGTGAACTCCTTCCAGGAAATAGGAAGCTTATTTTTCCTTCAAGTAACCTCTCTTTCCTTCTCCCTCTCTAGCCACCTTTGGAAAAACAGTTACAGCAAAGGGGCACAGTGACCTGAGTTTTAGAGCCAGAGGAAATATTTACTTGTACAAGATATTTACTTGTGCAAAGTCAGATTGCAGATTTGACTGCATGTGGCTTGCAGAGGCCTGTCCCAGAGCACGAGAGCCGATGTCGCTCCCAGGCTTTAAAGATTCAGCACCTTTACAACCACGTCAGCCGTGGTGACTGGTGGTAATTCAGCTGTGGTCTCAGACACGAAGATGTGGCCTTCCTGATGGACGGGGTCTTCCTCCTCACATGCCCTTTTCCTCCTAGAGCTTCCTACTTTCCTTCTTTCCATTGCCAGAATAGGGACATTTATTCTTTCTCACCCTCTTATGCAGTGACAGTAATTACACAGCCTCTCCTCCCCTTCTCCTGCCCCCTTGCTTCCCAGAGCCTGGCTGTGCTCCGCACCCCAGGGCATTGTGCAGCGGCTTCCAGGTACTGGCCAGTGCTGCAGCAGCCTGGATGTTTCTCTGCCCCCACGCAGGCTTTTAGCCTTTGGGGACTGACTGCTGTCATGTCTGCAGGGTGCTGCATGGTGTATATACTTAATAAATATTTGAGAGCTTGAGTTAAATATCCTATATGTGGAGGATTCATGACTAGATGACTTTACCTCTGACCTCTTCTTTGCGCTTTCTCTGTGTTTACAATTTTTAGCTGAACTTGGCACTGATCTAGTCGGTGATCTCAGACACCAACTGTCTAAAATTCTTGTTAATTTTGTTTAAACACAGTATTAAGATTATCGATTTCTGAACCTTAAATATTGGTTTAATGTTTTGAGATTGAAACTGCTCATTGCTCGTGGAGAATATTGGGACATGAGTAGAGAGATCATTGAACCAGTGTGAGTGGTTGCCTCTTGGAGGCAAGGGTGTCTGTCCTTCCTGTGTGCTGCCTTGACTTGGAGGTTTCTTCCTTGCTGGCTGCTTTTGTCATGCCTGGGCAGTGGGTGGTAGAAAGCCCCAGGCCACCCCAACTGTTTCTACTGCCTTTTACCTGCAAATCTTGTTTCCATCCTAAAAGCTGACACTTGGTCTTTTAAGAAAAACCTCTTGCAGGAATGATGAGAGAAAAGCTGTGTGCTTAAGTACAATTTATACATTTTGTTTTCCAGAAACATATTGTATAAATATGGTTTCGTAGTAAAACCATCTTGGGACACAAATTCTTGTTTAGACCTTGAGGTATTATTATGGCCCCTTAAGAAAAAAATCTACTGACCCCTGGCCTAGAATATGGTCTACTTGAGGAATGTTCTATGTGCAGATGATAGTATGTGTGATTGCTGCCATCGGCTGGAGGATTTCAGAAATACCAATTCGGTGAAGTCTCTGGTAGTGTCTCTTACACTCTCACTGTTTAAACAGCTTTGTCTTGAGATAAGAAATTTGTCTGTTCTAGGCCAAATAACATCACTCAATAGGTCAAGTGGGATTGAAATCATACAAAGTAGGTTCTATAGCGCATAGTTTTCTCCCTTTTCAGATTCTGTGTAATGTGCCATAGAAAATATAGCAGTCCAGTAGTGTTCAGTCTACCTGGAGATGTATGCAGCCTCTATCAATCTGAGAACATTTTCATCACCTCACAAAGAACCCCTGTATCCTTCAGCTATTATCCCCGCCTGTCCTCCAGCCCTAACAACTACTAACCCACCTTTTGTCTTTAGAGATTTCCCCATTTGTGGCTTTCATGTGAGTAAGATCATTTATCATGTGGACTTTTCTGACTGACTTCTTTCTTGTTGCATGTTTTTGAAGGTCATCCAAGTAGTAGATGTATCAGTATTTCAAGCCTTTTTATGATCAATAATATCCCTTGTTATACTTCATTCTTCTTATCTCTTCATCTACTAGTGGGTATTTGGGTTGTTTCCACCTTTTGTCTATTAAAAATAATGTTGCTGTTAACATCAGTTTACAAGATTTCATGCACACATGTATTTTCATTTTTGTTGATTCTATACCTATGAATAGAATTATAATAAAATGGTACCCTGTGTTTAATAATTTAGTACTAGACTGTTTTCTCCTCTGTTCAGATTCTTTGCCCAACTTTAAACTAGATCCTTTAGCTTATTGAGTTATAAGATTCTTTAAATAGCCTGGAAAGATATCTCTTATCAAATACATGATTAGCAGATTTTTCCCCCATTTATTGGGCTGCCTTCATTTTCTTCATGGAATCTTTTGGACCACAAAATTTTTTAATTCTGGTGAAGTCTAATTTATGTATTTTTCTTTTTTTTCTCATGGTTTTGGTGTCATATTTAAGAATTCTTCGCCAAATCCAAGACCATGAGATTTTATACCACTATTTCTTGAAAATTTTTATAGTTTCAACTCTTACACAGAAATTTAACCCATTTTGAATTGATTTTTGTATGTAGTGTGAAGTAAGTGTCCAACTGCATTGTTTTGCTTATGTCCATCTGTTTATTGTAGCTCTTTGTTCAGAAACCTGTTGAAAAGGCAGGTCTTGCCACACTGAGTGGTCTCGGTCAAAAATTAGTTCACCTGAGACTTGTGGTTTTATTTACAGGCTCTCAGTTCTATACCTTTGCTGTGTGTATCTGATCTCATGCCATTACCATGATAACTTGACCATTGTGTTTTGTGGTAAGTTTTGAAATTGAGAAGTGTGAGTCCCACTTTCTTTTTTTATTAATTTAGTTTTTCTGTGTTCAAGTCATTAAGAAATAAAACCCTTCCTAGCTCATTTCATGAAGCCAGTATTACCTTGATATCAAAACTAGACAAAGATAATTCAAGATAAGTAAACTATAGACCAATGGCTTTTTAGAATTTGGATGCAAAACACCCTCAACAAAAGACTAGCAAACTGTATCTAACAATATATTAAAAGAATTCTACACCATGAGCAAGTAAGGTTTGTTCTGGGAGTACAAGGTTGGTTCAACTTCTGAAACTCAATTAAGGCAATGCATTGTTTCAGTAGAATAAATAATAAAAATCACAATAGACAAAAAATAAAAGCAATTGATAAAATCCAACACTCCTGGTGACAGAAACACTCAAACTAGGAGTAGAAGGTAATTTCCCCACACTGAAATTTGTGAAAACCCCAAAACCAAATATAGGTAATCTGCTCTACATTTTGAATTTTGTCTGGTTTTCTAAGTGGTTATTTTGAGATGTAAATTCCTGTAGCTTGAGCAGATAGAGCAATCTGTATTTTTTTATGCAGACAGGAACTGGGGTACAGGCCAGAAGTACAGGGGGTGAGAGGATTCACCAGAGACAGAGTAAGGAACAGAACAGGCAGAATGACTGAAATCCACTGCTGAGGAGAGCAGCAGGTGAGACAGGAGAGGTCTGTTGTGCCATGTGGGTAGCTCCCTGGCCGGGGGATCGAACTCATGCAGCAGTGACTGGTGATGGCTTGATAGAGCTGAGACTTTAACCCTTGTGCCACCAGGGAGGCCCTGTGTTTTTCAATTTCTTAATGACCTATGAAATTTATATCACTTATATTTAGAGTGCTCAGTTACAGAAGTGAATATTCATACTTTTGTTTACTACCTTTAATATATACTTTCGAAAAGCCTCATGTGATTTGGTAATTGTGACTCTGTGCCACTTCTCTATTAATTGAAATAAGCTCTAAACCTGGAAACAGGAATAGAACACACTTTGGGCTCGATTCGCTACCGTGTAACTGCACTGCACTCACATTTCCTGCTTGACTACCATGCAACTATGGTTGCTTACCTCTGGTTAATTAGGATGATAAAAATTAGCCTAATAATTTGTTTACAAAAATTGACTGAAATTATTATAATTTATAATTATAATATGCATGAGTACCGTACAGAGACTGATGTACAAGAGTTAATTGAAAAATGTTTTCTGGAAGGTTTCTTCTAGAAGAGTCCTCAGATCTTTCTCCTTTTTGTATTTTTTTTTTTTTTGTAGAAAAAAGTTAGCCAAAGTTCATTTCTCTTTTATCTATATAATACTGTTTTCCTGTTAATATTTCATATGAAGATATAAGTGAATTTACATGCTTGCTTTTCTTTGCTATTCACAGTGTAAGATAAAAAGAGATCAAATTCTCTTTCAAATGATATATCCTAAGGAGACAGATGTTCAGCTGACTGTGTGTATCAGCTTATATTTTTCTTTTTTATTTATTGTCAAAATCAATATGATATTTGAAAACTGCTAAATTGAAGCTAAACACCGAGGGCCTAAATTTGTAGAGCAGTGTGAAGTCAGCCTTATTAGGATATCACATGATTCAAACTACATAGAGGCAGAGTCCAGACTTTCCAGTGGCTGCTTTACATGGTGGAGTAGTTTGGATGCCAGCCATACAGACAGAATTCACTGGACTAGTTAGATCTCAGTTCCTTACTAAGGATAATGCAGGTATTTGAGGGATGATTGCTTTTATCCCTTGCAGCACAGTCTCAATCCATTTGGGCCACTTTATCAGAATGCCATAGACCAGGTGGCTTACGATAACGCACACTTATTTCTCACAGCTCTGGAGGCTCAGGATACCAGCAGACTCAGTGTCTGGGGAGGCCCGCTTCTTAGCTCAGAGTGGGCTGGCTTCTCTTAGTCCTCAGACAGTGCAGGGGGCAAGATGGCACTTTGGGGTCTCTTTCATAGGGCACTAATCCTGCTCCAGAGGGCCCCCCCCCCATCTAATCACTGCCCAAAGCCCCACCTCCTACTATCACATTCAGTGTAGGATTTCAGCTTATGAATTTTGTTGTTTTTTTTAAAAATAATTGATAGTTATGGTTGTGTTTTTTTTATATATTTTTTTAAAGATTTATTTATTTATGCATACAAGAGCTGGGGTACAGGCCAGAGGTGCGGGGGTGGAAAGGATCCACCAGAGACAGAGTGGGGAACAGAACAGGCAGAATGACCAAAATTCACTGCTGAGGGGAGCAGTGGGCGAGTCAGGAGAGGTCTGCTGCGCCATGTGGGCTGCTCCCTGGCCTGGGATCGAACTCATGCTGCAGTGGCTGAGCACAGCTTCACAGGTTGCGTCTTAACCCCTTGCTTAACCCCTTGCATCTTAACCCCTGGAGGTCCCAGCTTATGAATTTTGGAGGGACACAAATATTCAGACCATAAGAAGTACTAATACCCTGTGACTCATATGCGTTTTAATCTGTGTGTTTTTGAATGCTGGTAGGTGGAGCCATTTTAAGGAAACTTCGAAAATAAGTGAATATTTGTAATAGGAAAGAAAAAAGAACTAATAATCTGTTCTGTGTCTTAAGATGGGTAAGGTGTAAGGTATTTGCCTAAGTAGGTATAAAATGAAATTGAAAGGAATGGATAGGTGACGGGTATTTTGAGGAGAAAAGTTTATAGAAAGATGTTGAAACCAGACCTGTTCTGAAATGAGCTGGTGTCTTTCGATCAACTTATTAATAATGAACTCATATAGAAATGACCATCAATATGCTTAATGTTCCGTGACTATGTCTAGAATCAATTGACTAATGTGAGACTTTTATTAATGAAAACTTCAACGAGTAGCCATTATTGGTTAGATAAAGAAGAGACTGAGCAGTTTTTGTGGTACAGATCTGTGTGGTAGAACTTTCTCTTACCGTTTTTTTCCTAGGAAGATCTATAACTTAGAAGAATTAGTCCAGCACAGACTAATTAGACTAGGTTTGACCTAGGAAGTAATGTTTCCAAATAAGTTAAGAACTTGGGGGGACAAAAAAACTATTCGGAAGGGCAGGAGTGGTGTTGGTTTTCATGGCCATCTTTATTAATTTTTTCCTGAATGTGCACATGAGCTCTTCTGAGCCAAGCTTCTTCCTGCCTCTGTCCTCCACTCCGTTGCCCACCCTTGGCACAGGCCACGAGAGCAGGTTAGCTGTCTCGCACAAGTGGCTGCACATCCTGGGGACAAGAGATGAGCACATAGTTTTATTTTCTCAGTTTATTAAGGGGAGATGGCAGCTGTGCTGCTCCACTCTTGAAAGGGTCTCTGTGGACATTTTATGGGCTTGAATCCTAACCCCAGCCCATTGACACAACAGCAGAATCTCTCCAGCTATAAGTAGCCCCCTGTGTCACAGCCTGGACACAGGTTCTGGGGCTTCATCTCTGTTTACAGGTAATATCCAGGGAGACCAAGCTAGCCTCCCTTTAATTTAGGTGTTAATCCCTCTGGTTATGTAACAATCTGGACCTCTTGAGAAATCTTATAGAAGATTTGCTATTTTTATCAAAACAATTAACTAACTATAAACTTACTTCTCATGGTATGTGAAGAGTAGAATATTTCTGAAGGAAATGAAAGCAAACCGCTCCTTCTTTACATGAAATCCATTTCAGAAGCTGAGAAGGAAGGTTAGGGCTGTTTACAGGAGCCTGAGAAATCTAGGGAAGTTGTATTTATATGCAGGTAAGTGTTTTAAATGGGAAGAAATTCTACCAGTTCATGTAGATGTTTTATGTAGAATATTAAAAGAAGATTATATGAAATGAGTTAAAAATATATGTGTAGCAAGGAAGGGAAATAAGATAAGGTGATATGATCAGGCATATGCATTTTTATAAATGTACTACATTTGTAGTACATTTGTAGTATCTTAGATCTATGTAGAAGTCTCCTACTTTTAGAAAGATGTCAAAAGGATATTTGGAAAATGTTTTATTGACATCTGCTTTGCTAGGTATTTTCAGTCCTCACCATCATTTACTCCATTCAATTCTGTTAAAAAGCTCTGAAGCATTGTGAGTGTACAATAATGTAAATAAAGGTAAATATATATATAAGTATATGTATATATGCACATCTATAAGGTAATATGTAAACATTACAAGTTTTTGTATTAGGGTTTTTCAACTGGGAGATTTTTTTTTTTAAGTTAAAAAAATCATCATTATGGTTATTGAGATAATACTGGTTTGCAACACTGTATATGATTTAGGGTTTTAGGTTTACATCTCTACACATTGTGTTACTACACCATGCCCACCACCAAAGCCCCAATAATCCTCCACCTAGTCTGTTTGAACTGGGAGATCTTTTCAACTTTTTTATTTTAAAGTTAAATGTTGATTGATTGTATGGCTGTTGATGAATTAGTTGGGTATGTAGGGGTCCCCTCAATCATACTATAGTGAAACCACAAGTAAAAGATATGGCATCCCATTTGCTCTAAAAATAGACTGCTTATTTTTCCTTCTGAGTATATTAGTCCTCTCTCTGTTTCCTTATACTCACACATTTAAAGGTAAACAAATAAGGAGTCTTAATTAACTGACTTTATGGAACTTTCTTTCAGCTTTTTGCCTGAATTCATCAGTGGTGACTTTGATTCTATTAGACCTGAAGTTAGAGAATACTATGCTGATAAGGTAAGCCATGAAGACACCATATTTAAGATTTTTCTCATATGATTGCTCTTACTGTGTTTCTGGTTCTGTTTGTGTATGTGTAGCGATTGAGAAACTGATTAGTTACTTAAAAGTGTTTGTAGCAATTGCAACATACATGCAAATGGGAATTTAGAAAATGACAAGCAGAAACATAATCTTAGCAATTCTATTACCATCAGTTCAACATTAATCAGTACTTTAAGGACCTATATTTTAAATGAGTTTGTAGTTTCCTAGGCTTGTTTAATAACATAACATTTTTTCTTACATCCTCAATAGTTATATATTTTTCACAAATCATTTTTAATTTCAGTTAGTGAATGTACTTTAGTTACGCTATTCCCATTTGGTGCACACTTAAATTGTGTCCATTTTTTGCATTACAAGCTACTAAATACATATCTGTAAATGAATTTTTGTAAAAATATGTAATTGTTCTTAGAATTTTAGCACCACAATTTTTTCAAGTATTGTTTCTTGAATCTATTATTGCTGTTTTGAATAAAGCTATTCACGGCATGTTGAAATTAATAATACATAATAATGTGCTGTTGTTGTGATGTAATAATAAGGTTTTCAGCTTACTGAGATGTTCATTATGTCACTACTGGGCAGATTTCCAGAGATCATTGCCATTTAAGAACATATAAATGAGAATGATGAAGACACAAGGAGTGCATTGTAGTAATTAATAATTTGTTTTCATTGACTTTAGAGGACAGTGCAGAGACTTTAAAATAAAAAATTATCGTCTCACCAGTTCTTTTAGCCACACCACTGTTGTTTGTGTTATTCTGAACTCACTTTAGCAAATTGCACGTTTTTAAAACAATGTTTACTAAAATCATAAGAGCTCGAAAAACAAAATCTTAAAATGTTCTTTCTAAGACTTGGGAGTAGATGAGATAAACTTAAAAAAGATAAACCCTCATAGGAAGGAGGAAGAAAAGAAGGGGAAAAAAAAAAAAGAAAGCATGATCCTTCGTGGGGAAACAGAGGCAGCAAGGTTATAAGCACAGGCTGTTAGAATGTGGAAATTCTGGGCCCACAGTGAACGCAGATCTGTGCATTTTCCATCTGCCCACCAGCTGCCTCACCTCTCCATCAGCCACCGAAGATGGTTCCCAAGTCAGTGTTGGATATTCATGCTCAATTACTTTCACACTGGCAGGTTCCTACTCGTTCCCCACGGTCTCACTTCTCATTAACTCCATACCTCAACCTCATTGGGATGGAGAGCTCTCAGCCTTGCTGACAATGCAGAGTTTTACAAATTCATAGAAACTAATCATGTTTGGGGGAGCAGATGAAACAGCGGGAGAGGCAGGGGCAAGCAGAATCGGAAACAAGTTAAAGATCTGGCAAGATGTGCTGTTCCCCCTCTCTAGCTGCTGGCTGGCTTGTCCACACTAGAAAAGTCAGTCTGATCTCTGCTGTTTAGGAAGTAAGCAGAGACCAGCCTGGTTGTTTCTGAATGTAACCTAGTAGCCTCGGGTCTGGGGTAATGGAAACTTGTGAGTTAATGATTTTCAATTAATTTCTCTGATATTTCTTTTTTCACTTTGTTTTTGCCTTAAAAACAAATTTATATTTGTTAAGGTTTAGTTTGTAAGGTAAGATGAGCTGAATCTTCTAATCCCTGCATTGCATTGTTCTGAGTTGATAGATTACAGTTCAGTTTTTTCATATAGCAGTGGGGACTGATTTTGAACTTTTTGGGTCTTTTCCTAGAGGGCACAGGATGGTGTTTTTTATATAGCTAATATGCCCAATATAGCACATGGCAAGTGTTTGCTGTAGTTTTAATAATGATGGTAATGACAAATTAATGCAGCATCACATACAATTCATATAAGCCATTATCTCCAGCTTAAGCAGTCTTTAAGCTGCTCTCTCTACTACAAGTGAAAGGAGGTTATCTCCACTTTCAAATAGACTCCCTGCACCACTACCTGGTCTGGCTTCTCAATGAAGCTGGGACTGGCATGAAGAAAATAAAATAAAGAAAAAATGTAAAAATCTGAAGAGTTGTTAAGAAAAAAAATCAGTTGGATTTTGTAGCCAACATTTATCCATACAACTCTTTCTCCACAATTGCTATTAAATCTTTGACTTATTGGGAAAAAAAAATCCAGTTTTCTCTTATTATACAAAACAAACTGGTTTGCCTGCTTAGTTTCTGAGAACATGAAAATATAAAGCTTTTGATTTGTCATCTTTTATACCTCAGATCTTGCCACCTGTATTGCCTATAGTGTAACAAACTATGCTAAAATTTAGCAGCTTAAAATGGCAAATAATTCTTCTCTCACAGCTTCTCTGGGTAAAGAATGTGAGTCCCTTCCCTGGTTATTGGCACAAGATTCCCCCTGAGGTGGTAATGTGGCCGCGTTTCCCAGTCCTCTCAAGGCCCCACTGGCACTACAGAAATCTCTCCCAGGTTTCTCACGGACAAGTGAGAGGTTGGAGGCATCAGTTCCTTGCATTTGTGCTGCTCACGTGACAGCTGTCTTCCCCGGGAGAGCAGGAGAGCCAGAGGGTGGACATATGAGAGCCAGGAGAGGCAGCCAGGACAGGAATGGTCTTTTAATAGCCTGTTGTCAGCATTGATGGACCATGTTGCCACCTCTTGTGCCCAATCCTGTTAGTCACGCAGGACAGCCTGGCACAGGTGGGGTCACACTAACAAGGGCGTCGGCACCAGGAGGCCGGAGTCACTGGTAGCCATCTTGAGGGTTGGCTGCCACATCTGACTGACTTCATACTGACAAAGCCTGAGTGTTAGAAAGCGAAGAAGATGTTTTAATGATGTCACAATGATGAGTGATATGTTTAACTTAATAACTTAATTAGCAATGTGTAAGAAGGAAGAAGAAAACATAGCCACAAGTAAATTCTCTCTTTGATTAGTTTTATTTTATGCATAACCTGCTTCAAGGTAATTGACATGCCATCAACCCAGTCACTGGTTTTCATGTCCATTGTCCTTTCTTATTTATTCCTTTGGATTTTGCAAAAGGAGGGGCAGGCTCTGGCCTGCCACTTAATTCTCTATGGCCCAGATGGTAAGAACTAAGATATGTAATGTATATCTTATGTTAATTAGCATGCAACAGTTTGAATATTTTGGGGAGGCAGTAATCTACCTCTGAATCCATGCCAACATTGTAACTTGAAATTTCAAGTGAAGTGCAGCATGCAACTGTCAATGTATTTCCTCATGCCAATAGCTGCATTTACCCTGTTTCAATACTAAAAATATAGATACAGGTTTACCCCACTATCCAAAAGTAGACTGTTCCTATTTGGTATGATTTGGTATGATTTGGTAGGACATTCTGGGGGAGGTTTGGGGACAATATTGCCATTAATATCTATGGAAAATTTTTTTGAGCATTCTAGATGCAAAAAGTAGCTTGGCAAATTATACCAAATAGGAATGTTCTATTTTAAGATGCAGGGGGAAACCTGTACCGTTGACATGGTGATACAGATAGACCCACTACTTGTAGCCCGTGTCCCTGGAGCAAGCAGCATGCCGTCCTTCACTTACCCCCACAAAGCCTTCCTCCTCAAACAGCTGTGAACTCTCTATTTCTTCCCAGCCTGGCTCACTGATGTTAACTCAGAATGATGAATATCTCTTGCAGACTTTCCCCTGGGCATTTATTTTTATTTTCACTTTCTGAGTCAGTCAAGTCATCCTTGATTCAAGGCTAAAATCACCTATATCAATCTTCTTAATTATTCCATTGATCTTGTCCATATGAGCTTGTTTCCTGAGAATTTTGAAGTAACTGTAACGTCTATAACTCCTGATAGTCTTTCATTTAGCTAGTCTGCAGGGTCTTTACTGGTTAAAATTAGAAGGGTAAGGAACTAGTTGCAGTATTTAATGCCTTTAAAATACTGAATGACAAGGTTTTTCTATAAATGTAGGTGTATACGAGATAAAAAATATGACAATAGAAATATAATTTAAAATATAAAAATTATTTAATTTTTCAGGCCATTAATGGAGCCATAATATAACCCCACTTAAGTTTAGTGTGTATAGAATAATGACTTGAATTACACATATATATATAGAGAGAGAGAGAAATGATTCACAAGGCAATTTGTATTATTTATTAATATTTAACTTTAAAAAGTTGATTAGTTGGTAATATTTTTTCTGAAGGCACACACAGCTTAAATGACTAATATAAAATTGTGGAGATGGGCAGAGTCAGCATGCAGGTCACTATCTGTGTATTCTGTAAAAAGAATGTTAAGACTGGCGCTCAGTAGCTAGAACTGCAGATTGAACATCTCTGGTCTGTTGGGCAAGATAGTTGTCCCTTGCACATGGGATTTTACATCCCTGGGAATGAATGCCAGGATCATGGTCAGTGTGATAAATTCAGTTTGATTAGCACTCTACCTCACCTTTCTATCATTTCCCTCCCCACCACACCCAGTTCTGGGGTGGGAAGAGCATGGCAATAGGTCAGTCGTACCAAAAATGACCGAAACCTGGGGCCTCCCCGGTGGCGCAGCGGTTGAGCGCTGGGTTGCGAAGCTGCCCGCAGCCTGTGCAGCACTGGTTCGATCCCTGGCTGCTCCCCGGCCACTGGAGGAGGGTCCCACATGGCGCGCAGACCTCTCCTGCCGCCCGCTGCTCCCCTCAGTAGTGTACTTCGGTCCTTCTGCCTGTTCTGCTCCCCGCTCTGGCTCTGGTGAATTCTCTCACCCTCCCGCACTTCTGACTGTACCCAGTGCTTGTATAAATAAATAAATAAATCTTTAAAAAAAAAAAATGACCTAAACCTAACTAGCAGATCAGTGATTATATTACTTCAAAGTGACTTATAGGACATAGGGCTGAGCCAAGATGGAACCCTGAAGAACCAAGATGATTTGGTATAGCAAATTTAGTAGCTCCACAGGTAACCTAATAAGAATCTCTCTGTACTCCAGGCCTTCCTTGGTAATATTGG